CTCGTCTGATTCTTTGGTTGGCCATGTTTTCGAACTATATAGAATAGTTGGTTGTACTATGGAACTGTAAATTTTTCCCTTTAATTTGTGTGGGATTCTTTTGTCAAATAGCGCTCCAGATAAAGATCTTAACTTTAACCACCCTTGATTAATTTTACTCTTTATCTCTTTTTCTATTGTGCCGTTTGTTTATATAGTGGAGCCCAAATATTCGCAGCTTTCAATTGCCGATATCTGCCATTCATTTATATCAATAATCTCTGTTTCATCTCCTCCTATCACCATATACTCCGTCTTTTCTCTATTTACTGTTAGTCCGTGCTTTTCTAGGATATTTATCCAACTCACTAATCTTTCTTTCATTTCATCCTTGGATTCGGCAAGTATCAAATATCATCTGCAAATATCATATTCCACGGGATTGTTTGAGGTATAGTGCTAATACATCTATTACTGTAATGAAGAGAATTGGGCTGAGAGCCGATCCTTGATGAACTCCTTCGGCTATTGTGAAGCCTGCTGAAGTACCTGTTGTGCTACGGACCATTGTTGTATGGCCAATATAGATATACATATCCTGTATTATTCTTATATATTTTTCGGGAACCTTTTTGTGGCGTAGCGCCCACCAGATAAGTTTTCTTGGGATTCTATCGTAGGCCTTTTCTAGATCGAGAAAGACCATGTGTAGCTTTTTGTTCTTTTCCCTGTATTTTTCACTCATTTGCTTAATTGTGTGGATAGCATCAGTTGTCGATCTTCCAGGCATAAAGCCAAACTGAGTCTCTCCTATTTCGATTATGTCTCTTAATCTTTTTTCTATTATTTTTTCGTATAGTTTTAGACAGTGTGACATTAGTTTTATGCCCCTGTAATTTTGACAATTGTGTGGATCCTAGGCCTATTCAAAAACGAATTCGAATTGAATAGTGCATTATTCATATTCGATTCGTTTAAACGAATCGAATAATTTACTATTTGAATTCGTACGAATAATAAAATCTACTATTTGTATTCGATTCGAATTATTCGAACGAATTAATTTTTTTAATAAAATAAATCATACTCAAATATATTAACAAATTTTTTTATTATAAATTTGATTTTAAACAGAAAAAATTATAATAATATGTAATCAATAATCTGATAATAAATAATATATAATCAAGTTATAAACAAAATTAAAATGTATATTATTAATTTAATTTATAATTTTAGCCAATTTTTAAGGCAAAGAGTTTTTCTTTTATTTTCTTCCTTATATGACATGCGGTTTTTTGACAATAAATTAGTTCCAACTGAGAAAAGCCTTTCACAAGCAGTTGATGTTCCTTGTATAGATAGATAATCCCTTGCCATTTTCGAGAGCATGGGGATCCGATATGCATTTGCCTTCCACCACATACGAATCATTCTAATAATGTTTCTTAGTTTTATAATTGAAGGATCTAAAATTTTTAAAATTACTTTGGATATTAAATTAATTACATGAGCAAAGCATCGGATGTGCCCTATTTTTATTAATGGATATTTTAAAGAAAATGTATCAATAAATGTTTTATTATTAGTTGCATTATCTAAAGTTATATAAAAATTTTTATTCTCTAAATTATAAATTTTAATTATTTTAACAAAGGCTTTAATTATATTTGAATGTGTTTCATTTATTGTACTGACATCCAAAATTATGTTATTTATTTTAAAATTATCATCAATAAAATGGGCTATTAGCCCTAAAAAAGGAACCTGTGTTGCTAGTCTAAATATCAGATGAAAAATTAATCTGACTTTTAATTTTATATATTTTTCCTTTACCAACTGTTCTTTTTCTGCAAATATATTATACTGCAATTTAAGAGTATTGGAGCATATTATTTACAGAACAATCAAGATCACTTATAAAATTTTTAAAATCATTTGAATTAATAATTTTAAAAGGTATATTATTATTTATCAATAATTTTAATAAATTATCCTTAAAATTAATTATTTCTGAAGAATTTGGTGTAGACTTTATGTCAATTTTATTATATTTTTACTAAGGTGTGAATGAAACCTATTATAATGAATAATAAGAGGAGATGTTGTTTTGCCTTTACATTTTATAATACTCTTGCAATGATTGCAAGCAGCCTTTTCACCGTCTTTAAGGATTTGTTATTGATCCCATATGATTGCTCTCTTTTGTGAGGAAATTTTCTCATCTTCAACATCAAGCATAATTTCATCAGAAGCCTTCTCCTCTAACATAATTAGGCTAGCTAACAATAATTATTGTAGAGATGTAATATATTTTTATATACCTCTGGTTTATGTAATTTTTATTATAATTTATTATGAGATTCAAAAAATAAACTTTTCGTGAGATTCAAAAAATGTGGCAAATAAAAATTTAAATTTTCATTAGAAATTTTTGAATTTGTGCTAGAATTTTTATAAACACAAACACATCACCTGTCAGATTGGCAGGTCAACAAATATAATGACAAATGTTAGATTTATTAAACAATTTATTAAATATTACGAATAATTCGTTTTATTCGAATCGAATAAATGATTATTCGTATTCAGATAAAACAAATAATTTATTATTCGTATTCGTAATTATTATTAGATTCGAATTATTCGCATCGAATCGAATTATTTTTGAATAGGCCTAGTGGATCCCCTTTATTTTTGAAGATAGGAACTAGATAGCTCTGCCTCCATTTTTGGGAACCTCTTCATTTCAATAATTCGTTTTATTCGAATCGAATAAATGATTATTCGTATTCAGATAAAACAAATAATTCATTATTCGTATTCGTAATTATTATTAGATTCGAATTATTCGAATCGAATCGAATTATTTTTGAATAGGCCTAGTGGATCCCCTTTATTTTTGAAGATAGGAACTAGATAGCTCTGCTTCCATTTTTGGGAACCTATTCATTTCCAAGTATTTTATTGTACAGATTTTTGAGGAGATGTATTCCATCATATCCTAGTGCTTTAAGGCTTTCTAATATAATATCGTCAGGACCATTAGCTTTGTTGTTTTTCATATGCTTGAGGCATGTGATTATTTCTTGTTCTGTTATAGGTCGTACAAGGTTTTGACATGGGGAGTGTTCGTCTAGATCTAGTATGTGAGGATTAAAGTTGAGAAGCTACTGAAAATATTCTTTCCATCTATTCATTATTTCTTTTTCCATTATTATCAATTTCCCATCTTATTTTTGATTACTTTCGGAGCTCCATTTATATCCCTAGAGTTCTTTTCTCGCTGTTTGGCTAATCTGTATATTTTATTTTGCCCTTCTTAGGTATGTAGATCTTAGTACATGTCATCGTATGCCATAGATTTGGCCCTAGCCACCGCTTTGTAGCTATTTACTTGGATTTTTTATTATATACCTTCTGCTTATCTACGCTAAGCCTATACACGCTTCGTTTATATCCACCCGCTTATATTTGCTTAGTTTATATTTCGCTTTACTTATATTCGCACTGTTTATATTCGTACTGTTTATATTCGTACTGTTTATTCGTACTGTTTATATTTGTACTGTTTATATTCGTACTGTTTATATTCGTACTGTTTATATTCGTACTGTTTATATTCGTACTGTTTATATTCGTACTGTTTTTATTCGTACTGTTTATATTCGTACTGCTTATATTCGAACTTCTTATATTCGACTTATCACTTGGCTCCACTTATAATCGTTCGCTAAAATATGTATATTTAACAAATTATTGTAGTAACTACATTTTATAACTGCAATAATTTGAAAGTTGTTCTTTAGCCAGTTTACAAGGAGCTAAAAATCTTATAAATATTGTTAATATATCTAGTATTAACAATAATATTTGAATATATACTGTAAAAAAAATGTCTTAAAATAATATTTTATATTTAAAAAAAAAATTTTATTAAAAAATTTAGTTTATTTCCGAAATATATGAACAGAGTTGTAAAGAAATACTTTAAAAATATATCTAGATGCCGAAACATCCCAAAATGAGTCATAAAGTTATATCGACAAAAAAGTATTGACTTACATTCCTAGAAATGCATCTATATTCAGATATAACTATCTCCAAAATGAAAAATTATTATGGTACAAGTATGCATTATAGCTAATTTAGGATTCTATTGATAAAATTTATTTTAAAGTTTGTTAACAAAATTCAGTTGATATATATACAAAATATATAATTAAATGATAATAATTGTTGAATTTTAAATATGTAATTAAATGATTATAAATAATAATTGTTAGATTTCAGTAATAGAACATTCTCAAAATTTTTATCATGGCATCCCCATTTATTTGTAAAAACTTTTTAACCACGCTAAAGAGTCTTTCCACCGGAACACTTAACCTCAGAGTGGTGTTAAATTTTATGAATAATACATTTATACTGAAAAAAAAAATTAAATTATTTTTAAGGAGTTATCTGTTTACAATCAGTTGGAAACTTTAATAGCTCATCAACTATAATTTAAAAGCTACCATGTTTTCGTCATCAATTATTCAAAATAAAATTTGTCTCGTTAGTTCTTAAGAATTTAATGACATAATATTAAATGAATTGAATTCTGACATTATTATTTTAATATAATAAAACGTAACATAAAATTTTATCAAAATTTATCTAAACAGATAATTTCAAATATATTTAATTACATATACTTATTATAAAAGTGTATCTAGTAAGAGATACAGATACCACATTTTTGTATCTAGATACTTTAACAACTCTGACAATAACCATTATCTTATTTAGAGGGAGTTTAATGAATAATTCCAAAAAAATAACCTTCCAAATTAATGAGAATTATACATACATAATATTTATCCATATTAGAAGAATAACTATAAAATATAAATCATCAAAATTAAATGGTAAAGGCATTTATTAGTTAGACATTATTGTAATTCATTGCAAAATTAAATCTTACATAATCAATATTAAATATCTATCAAATTATTACATTTCAAAGATTACTTAGATTAGGCAAATATAATTTAATTTTTTTCTGATGACTACCTATGTGCTGATATTTCCGCTGTGCGAAATACTATGCCACTATGATCACGGATACTAGAGATATCTATATTACTATTACATTTATTAGGCAATCTTGAGTGATGAAAATTGTTTTTCGTGGTATTTTTAAAGTTTTTGTCAAGATTTAAATCGTAATTAGTGTTGCTAATTTTAATCAATTGGGATTTTGTGGTTCTCTGAGCTGTTTTAGTTGGTTTATTATTATCGCATTTATTTTTATTGTTTTCATTTATTTTATTGTTTTCATCATTATCAATATCCAATTTATAATGATGACTTGTTTGAATGGAAGTTTCGGTAGCTTTCATTAAGCCTCCTTTGGAAGATTTTACATCACTAATCTTATGTTCATCGAAGTGAGGATACTGATTATGGATGTTGCCAAAGCTAAAAGTGGGTTGAGATAGTTCATTAATGTGTTGAGATACAATATTCCCATTTTTGTGTCTATTCACTGAGTTTTGGCTTTCTGAGCGTTGCATGAACCTGGATTCCTTGTAGGTCTTAATGAGCTTGTTCTTATCAATAAGGGCTCGATATTGCTTATTATTATCCGGGTTATTGTTGATAAATTCTATGTTGTTATTAGAATTCATTACTATTGGAATTGGAATGTTTGAGGATAATCTTTTGAAGGACTGGTTTGTTTCGTTTTTATCCCATTTTTCACTACTACTACTACTTATGCTAGTCGCCTCCGTTACTTGAATATTTATTTTTAATATTTATATTTAATGATAATTTATTTATGTTATTCAGAATTTATTCAAAAATACTTTCTTTTTCCCAGCATTAAATTTCTAAATCAAATAATAAATAATATAAATATTTATTTTTATGGCGCTAATCTTAAATAAGTTTCTTTTCTAATATTATCAATTATATAATAAATATTTGCTTTTTAATATAAAATTACGTTTACAGGTATTATTAAATCGCTTTATGATCTTATTTATGCTTATGCATTGCCATTATATGACAGTCTCTTAATAATATAAATATTGTTAGAGTAAGAGATTAAATTGAAATACTATAGTAGTGCCGATATATGAATATGAACTATATTCGTATCAATGCTATTTTTGAAAAAAATTTTAATAGAAAACATTCAAATTTTAATTAGTTGAAAAAATTATTCATATAAAATGTTTATCATAATAAATAATAATTAATATTCTAATAAAAAAAATTAATATGGCATTACGATTTCAATTTATATTAATCAACTTTTTATTATAATGGCCATGTAATATAGCATAATCAACAATTAAATATATCATCCATACCAGTTTGATAGAGTAATAAAACGAATTAAATATAATACAATCAGTATATATCTTAAAATCTTTTAAATTTAATATCTAGATTAAAGATATGAAAATAGGGCGAAGTGGAATAGAGTTAATCTCTTATTTGTCTTTTAAAAATCTTAGTTTTTAAGGTAGCTTATACAAATATAAAGTGAAAAAGAATGTAAAAAGTATATACAATATATACTCAATAATTAAAAATATCCCTTCATGGGGATAATTTTTTATAGATAAATAATTCAGTCATGCAGTATTTTAAATTAATAGAACTAAACTCAACTCCTTAGTCATATTTTTATTCTATATTACACTCATTTAAATTAATCAAACTGATGATTTCATGATATTCGATATTTAATAATCTTAATTATATAATTCCTTAACCAAGTTGTTAAGAAAATTTGCAACCCCCCCCCCCCCCCACTCCCTTAGAAGATTTCATTTCCTTTATGCACCCTTTCAGAAGATAAACGAATTTCATATGTTAGTTGATACCTGCAATTTATTGCACAAGAAGCTTATGATAATCATCTTCAAAATATTTGTAGATTAAAATAAGTTAATTAATGACAACAAATTTAATATTATTATTTCTTCAAAATTGAGGTCCGGATCTCTTTAGCAAAGTCTCTTTAATATTTTGTGCCAATGATTTATCATAATTAACATTTTTTTAAATGAAAACTAACCATTTGGAAAAAATAACCCCCCCCCCCCCCACCATCTTTTTAATAGGATATGCATCAAAAATTCAGAAAAAATCAAAATACCTCCTAAATTTTGCTGAAGTGCCCACGTCTGATCCCAACCTCTTATTGCTATAAGAGTCACTGCTCGTATTTAAATATGAGTTTAATGTAATGTAAATCAGGTTATGATTACAAAAATGATTAATCAAATCTATTTTTTATAACACTTATTTGTATATATTTTGAAATTACTGGAGCTATTATAGCTTTTAAAAATATTACTGAGATATTTTTTTGGCATATTCATGTCATTTCAATGATGAAAAAAAGTAGTTTGGATGTCCATGTTAAACATCTTCAAATATTTTCCATAATTCTAATCCACCACATTTTAGGTATGGAATAAAACAGATATCTTAACTTACTGATTTTATTATTTTTTAAATTTTCCTTAAAAAGTTTTACATTTATTTGTTAACATTAATGAATTAAAAATAGAGATTATTAAGAGAAAAATGCTTAATGGGAGAGGAGGAAAACTTATAGTGGGATGAGAGTGATTGATTCTACTTCGCCATCAAATTATAAGGGATTAAAGCTCAGGTTTTCCTTCCCTCTTTCCTTCTTTCCTTTCTTCCTTCTTTCCTTTCTTCCTTCTTTCCTTTCTTCCTTCTTCAAACATTTTTCCCAATCCATTAACTAATTAATTTAGAAATATTTTACAGTGGTAAAATATAGTTATTATTTTTACATGACATTCAAAAATCACTTAGTGTATTTCAATTGAAATATAATAATTTACTCAGCTACATTTAAAACTCCATTATAAAAATGTTCTCAAAAACAAATTTTAATTTACTACTTTTATTTTATATACTTAATATAAAATATAAATTACATTTTAAAAGCACCTAAAGTTTGAACATAACCACTTTGTGGAAAATCATTTAATCTCATCGGAATGGAACACGTTAAGAATCCATTCAAAAAAAGAATGAAATTTGTTACAAAATTTGAGTAGGAAGGGGTATTCTAGAATAGAGGCAAAGGCCTAATACAGTGAGATAATCTGATAGGATTAATTAAATTTTATAAAATAGCCGTAATTCAATTGTCGTCACTTTGTAGAACATAAAATATTTTATTTTATCAATGATATCAATCGACTTGGTTATAATCGTATGGGAATTCTACACCTGTCGGCCTATTAATTATATCGTGAAAGCTAAAGGGATATAAATATAATGAAAATAATTCAAAATGTGTTTGGTAAAAACCTTATAATCTAAAATCTTTAAAATTGAAAAAATTCTTCAAATATTTTTTTAAATTAGTCTTTTTCTTCGATATGACTCTAATCAAGGTTGTTTTGTTTAAAATGTTCTATGGTAGGGGAGGGGGATGTATAATTTTATTTATTTTTATAATATCGTTAAGTTTGAAGGATTCATTGATCCACTATGTCTGAATGTAGTGCTGCAAACCTTATACAGTAATAATGATGAAAGATGTGTTATTAATCAGATGGATTCTCAAACAAGATACATGTTATTAACTTAGAATCAATCATTTAAAATTACAAAATTAGAATGAAGTGGCATAAAAGAGTCAAAATGGTAGCTAACATAAATGATCAATTAATTAAACCTCATTGATAAAGTCTATGGAAGGAAATATCCAATATTACAAACTACTGGAGTGTTAACAAATTATGGGTAGATAAAGCGTTGTTAGATGGGTAGAGAAGAAAAATCTGAAACTATCTGTAGTAGTTAGCAAGTCCAAAGATGTATATTTCTTTTGGGGCTTCCGAGGATTATTGTTTTCAGTATGAAAATTCTGATGACACTGGATACTTCTTCGCCATGCGGGTGACTCTTGCTGCACACATAAAATGCTTTAATATTTGAGGATGTCTTTTGGCGTATTCTGTGCACTATAATATTTCGGTGATATATGGAGAATTTATTAAGAGATTGTTCCATGATCGGAATTTATCTAAAGGACCTTTCAACGTTAAAACCAAAGTTATATTAAAAAGCTTATCAGAGTTTTATCGAAATTACGTAAAGTGAGTAAGGCAACATTAGGCAAAGTCAAGTATTTAGGGTTTAAAGTGTAACTATTCTAAAGGCTTCATCTCCAAAAGATAATCGATGCCGGTATTTTTTAGAGTTGTGAAATATTATGAAAGATTTATGCCATGACTAAACGGAATAATCTCGCCTATACATAAACTAATTAGTATAAAAGTGACATTGATATGGCATAAAATACGGCATTTAGCTCAGTCAAAGAATTATTTTCATTGGAGAGAAGAGACATTAATGCCATATCCGACAAAATTGCCAATAATTAAGGAATATGATGCTTTTTATATTGAATTCGATGATGTTTGTTTACACCGTTGAAAAAACGGCACCACATGATCTATCATACTTGCGTTTCAAATATAATCAGCGAATGAATATTCTTTGCATCAATTGATAATGAAACTCGGACCTTGCTATTTATGCTTATCAATTTATTTAAGGTTGAAAACTTATATAACGGATCAAAAACCGTTACAACAGTTATTTGGGTAGAAACGAAACCTAGCGAGAATTACAAATACAAGACTGGTAAAATAGCATTGAAAATCGGCTATTGATTTTGATAGTGTTTATTGGCCAGGTTACAAAAATATAGTAATGGATGTATAAATACGATTATCATTATTGGCTGCAAAGTCCGGCCCACTTCGGTCCGTTATTAATTTGAAACAGTTCCGGTTTGGTTCAAAAATGATTTTGCCGGGCCTTGCCCATTATAGTTTTATTTTTAAAAATTTTCCCGCCTATGCCCGGCCCGTAAAATTTTACTAAAGGTCAGGCCCGCCCATACCTGTTAAAGTTTTACAAAAAGTCCGCCTTGCTCATTAAATTTTTTTGGACAAATTTTTTGCCATAAAATTTTTAATATCTATACTGTGAATTGAACTAAACCCTTTTTGTTTTAACAATATAAATTTGTCAATTTTTTAAATAATTCCATAAAATTCCAAATTTTTAAGGATGGATAAATTATCCATGTTTTCTGAAATATCCAAAGTCAAACAAAATTCAAACTTTCCAACATTTATTATTCATTATTTATTTTATTTTAATAAAACTTTCAATTCGACAAAAACATGAAAACATCAACATTTAACATGAATTTGAACCAAGTGTGAGCACTGTCCTGCTGTAATATGAAATATTCACTGCCTGCCACTTCTCTAATAGCAGGCCAAGTGCTCACCGAGTAAAACAAATTAATTTTGACCTGGATAATAGAGATGAGCTCTATGCAGCCAATTGATACTCCTACGAAAACCATGTTGGATTTAGAGAAATCGATTGGCTGCAAATTATTTTTAGCTCATAGAAACTGCAACGAACACCCTATCGTTTTGCAAATATATCGGTGCCTTGTAAATAATTAGATGTACTGAAATTCGCGAAATACCAGTCGGTCTTCATATACGAGTGTTTCAACGTCATTAACATTTTACATAGTACGAGCTGTGCGTGGTTTACCACTATACCATATTTCTTATCGGGTAGCATCATTCAAGACTGCGATTGACCAGTTTATGTTAGGAAATTCTTTTATAAACCTTTAAGTACCGTGATGCTTTTCATGTCTTAAAATTTTAATCAAATACAAGTCATCTTTACTGAAAA